TATATATATATATATATATATATATATACACACACACAGTATAAGTTTTAAACAAACAATTCAATACTGTACATAGCAATGATGATTGTGAAGCTTGGTTGAGGTGGTGAAATAAGAGGGTGGGATATTTCCCAGGGAATGCTTTACTGGCTAAATGATGAGGGCTCAGCCAAGTGCTAATTCAAGGGTTAACATACTGTTGTTAATGTAGCCTCACACTCTACAAGGCAGCACAAATGGAGGGAGGGGAGACAGCATGGCAGACACACTTACTCTAGCTACCACTTATGGAGTGATATTGACTCTTGGTTTACTTCAGGACTGCTTCAACTTGTTATATGACCAGTATTCATTTATATATTATTGGCAAGAGCCAGGTTTGTAAATCAACTTTTCCAGTGATGCTGAATACCTTCAGTTTTCCATAAAGTTCCATCGTATCACTAAGAGAGCTAGGAACTGATTTACCTTATGGTCTGACTTCAGGGCCCAGAACCCTACATACTTACATGAGGTAGATTGGTTATCCCACTGTCTTTTTCAGGTTGAAGCTGTTAGTCTATGAAATATTTAAGGCTGAGTGGGACCACGCTTACAGTATTGTCCATCCATGTTATCATTGTTCCTGAAAGCTTGGGAGGAACTTAGTGTATCAGATGATGGTTCTTTTGTTTGTTTGTTTTCTCTGTTTGGTTTTGAGGCCACTTATTTTCATGCCCAAAGAAGAGGCTCAAGTGATCCCTGCCTGTGAAGGAGACACTCTCTCAAGTAAAAACCTCCCCTCTGAGAAACACTGAGTCCCTGAATACAGGGAAGATAGTCACTTTCACCTTTAATAGTGACACCAGGTTGAATATGGACAGGTGTGCACTGAGGAATTTTCTGGCCTTATAAAATGGAGGCCAGGGGTATAGAAAGAAAGAAAGAGGGAAAAAAAGGTCAGCCAAAAGGCTCCTAATTGTCTGATTGTTTTTCTGCATATGGGTTGCTGTCTCTCTTTTCATTGCACAGGTAGCTGCTGGAGGAAAAGGTAAAGCTAGTTGAGGCATAGTAACCTGCCGTGGAAGCTGGGAAAAATATCATGGACCTAAGAGCATGGTGACCCACAGCAGCAGCTGGGAACAATAGCCCAATAGTTAGGGTATGGCAACTTGCAGAGGCAGCAACAGCCCAATAGTTTACTTATCTTTTAGGTGTGGCAGAAAATCCCAATCCCTCTATTGTTTCTTTCCAGGGAGCATGAGGACTGGCTTGCTGAGGCTGCTCCTACATTTTGCTCAGCAGAGTCAGCCTCACTAACATACCTAGCTCCTTTTCTGCCCGGGGAGGAAACTAAGTGACCCTGTCTAGACTGGGCTGAAAGTTGGAGTAAATTGGACAGAGCCATCTGAGCTCCCCAGTGAGACACTCGAGAAGGGGATGAAGCAGGAAATACAAACCTTTCTTTTTTGCCTTTGGCTTTCCTGGTCTAGCTCACAACTAGCCACTGCAAAAGCCACTGAGGGGACAGTCTCTCCAAAGGCAAATGCAACCCTGGAACACAGCTGAGAATTAGACATATTATTGAGCTAAATCGTTAGTCACTTTCAATAAAGTTTGGAATTTCTCTCAGGAACGCTCTGCAGCAGAGGGGTCTGGCTGAGTTGCTAGGGTCCCCAAAAACAATGGAGGAATCTTCAAGGGATGGGACAGTCTCCTGTTGCAAGCAACTGACCATTCTGATTCAGTTCCCAAACTGCAAATGGTCTGAAATACCATTGTAATGGATCTGTGGACCTTAACATGTTGAAGGATGATTTCAAGCAGTTTTGACCTTTTTAATACACCCTTGTTTTAACACAAAAACGTAATCTGAAATTTAACCATTTTTAAAAGGACAAAAACAAGATATTTAGTCCCCAGATATGAAACATTTCTTATTGCTGTTGTGTTTTGTAGGTATTGCCTGAAACATGTTTCAGAATTGAATAATTCCAAACATATATAGCACAGCCAGCATATATCTACAGGCAAACTCTGTGACTACATCTGGAGTGCAAAAACTGCAACAGCAAATTAAAGTTATTTAATATTCAGACCTGAGTAGCAACTAAAGAATTTAAGGCACAAATAGGAAGTGAACCCAATCCATTCTGAAATTATATGCAAAGTCATAGGGTCCACAAACTATTGAATGTTTATTGTAAGTAGGTACATATGATTGAATTGGTTCTATTTATTCTAATAATACTTTTTAAATTTTAGGAGCCTTACATGGAGGGGGTAAATCCATTTATCAAGAGTAACAAACATCGCATGATCATGTTTTTAGATGAACTTGGGGTAAGAGTGTTATAAATTTTACAATCTAAGCTAGAAGTTATATAGATTTATACATATCAAAGAATAATGTAATAACAAATCTTAAAGGTTCTCATTAAATACCTCTGAAATCCAGCAACTTCTGAGTATTGTCCCAAATGCCCTAGTTAGAGGGTATATTGTTAACTTAAAATTTATCTTTAAGGTCTCAATATTCAGAGACAAGGCAGATCACTGATCTTAACTTAATGTGCAAAGATTTACCAAAAACATCATCTTGCAAAACCATACTTAAAAAAAAAAATACTCTTACTCTTACCTGTAGGCTGGCAACATGGATCCATTGTGGAGGTTAGCAAATCTGACCCTAATAGAAGAAAAAAAGTTGAATTTTAAGTTAGTAAGGTGCTGAATGTTTGTCTTAACCTGGCTATTTAAGACAATCTATGCGTTATTCTAAATTGTCAAGGTTTAAAGAGAATTGAGATTTACAGATCACTTTAAATCAAACAATGTAACTTAATACCGTGCAAATGCTATAACAGGAGTAGCAGTGCGTATAAGACTTTACTTTTCAGGAATCTCAGTTTTAGAGGATTGATTCAGGAAAGCATGAAAATTTGTGCCTAAGTGCTTTGCTGAATAGGGATGCTGTCATGAATTGGAGCCTAAATAAGTAACTTTGGAAGATACTTCTTACTATTTTTTTGATACGTAGTCAATAGAAATTGCTATTTACAAGGGATACTCAGTCACTGATTTATTATTTTAATGGTATCTGATTACTGTATACCTGGTCCACCACTGTTTTCATTAACTTGCCAGTTAATTTCTGCTCTCCTATTTTTGCTGTTGCTATCTTTGAATATAGAAAATTAAATAAATGGATGCATCATCTCTAGCTTGAGGGGAAGAGGTAGAGAGCATGAAAATGCCACCCAGAGAATCCCTTGCTAGCCAATTCAAAGAGGTAGCCTAGATGGCAACACCAGATCATTTTCCTTTCAGCTGAAAGAGAAATTGGTGCATTAGTGATCAGCAACACTGGAGTGGCCATTCCAATTAAGTACAGGGGATGCAATATAGGAGTAGGCTCTAACTACATTCAGATATCTTTTTAAGAGCTAAATAATAATATTGGTGGAGTGAGAGCAAATAATTGGTATCAGAGCATGAGTAGAAAGCTTGGCTAACTGAGAATAATATGCTGAATGTTATGATGCAACTGCCTGCAGTATTGAAAGTAATGTGTTGCACAATACAGTTGATTAGTGGAGAGAAGTGTAATGGAACTTTCTTTGCTATTTTATGAATACTTTTGAATTCTAAACACACTTTTATCATTCTTGTTAAAGAATGTACCTGAACTTCCAGACACTACAGAGCATTCTAGAACTGACTTGTCTCGTGATCTAGCAGCCTTACATGAGATTTGTGTGGCACATTCAGATGAGCTTCGGACGCTCAGTAATGAGCGAGGCGTAATGCAGGTAAGAGTTGTTATAGCAGAAAGCCCCCATCTCAGATAGTTGAAATTTTTTACACTAAGCACTGATGCAAATTTAATAATACTTATTTGATACTTCTGTACTAAGGAGTTAAGATAAATAGCTTTAGATAGGTTACTTCATCAGTATAATGTTGGGAGGATGAGGTAGCTCTAAAGGTAAATACTATTCTGTTCACTCAAAATGGCTAGAAGTGCTCTGTAGCAAAACCAAAAAGCCTTTTAAGTGCCTGGAGGAGGCCTGCTTACCAGAAACCAGTTTTCCCTCTCTGATAGGTTCTGTGGGCTACTAGTATGGAATATAGTTTTTTTTTCTATTTAGAAAAGTGAATGTTGTTTGTTATCTTTTCAACTGCTATTTCATTTCAGTTTCTTGGTTTGTATTATCTTTGAAAGCAAAAGATGCAAGCTTTTCTTTTCCAGTAAGAAAACTCTCTGGACCTTCAATAATTGTTCTGCCTAAATTTTATAATATAATATAAATTATAATAATTAGGGCTGTTGATTAATCCCAGTTAACTCATGCGATTAACTAAAAAAAAATAATTACGATTAAAAAAAATTAATCGCAGTTTTAATTACACTGTTAAACACTAGAATACCAATTGAAATTTATTAAATATTTTGGATGTTTTTCTACATTTTCAAATATATTCTGTGTTGTAATTAAAATCAAAATATATATTATTTTTATTACAAATATTTGCACTGTAAAAATAAAAGAAATGGTATTTTAAATTCACCTCATACAAGTACTGTAGTGTAATCTCTTTGTTGTGAAAGTGCAACTTACAAATGTAGATTTTTTTTTTTGTTACATAACTGCACTCAAAAACAAAACAGTGTAAAACTTCAGAGCCTACAGGTCCACTCAGTCCTACTTTTTGTTCATCCAATTGCTAAGACAAACAAACAACGTTTGTTTACATTTACAGGAGATAATGCTGCCCTCTTATTATTTACATCACCAGAAAGTGAGAATAGGCACTTTTGTAGGAATTTACATGCCAGATATGCTAAACATTTGTATGCCACTTCATGCTTCAGCCACCATTCCAGAGGCCATGCTTCCATGCTGATGACGTTCATTAAAAAAATTATGCGTTAATTAAATTTGTGACTGAATTTCTAGGGGGGAGAATTGTATGTCCCCTGCTCTATTTTAGATGCATTCTGCCATATGTTTCGTGTTATAGCAGTCTCGGATGATGGCCCACCACATGTTGTTCATTTTAAGAACTCTTTCACTGCAGATTTCACAAAACGCAAAAAAGGTACCAATGTGAGATTTCTAGAGATAGCTACAGGTTTGATTTAAGAATCTGAAGTGCCTACCAAAATCTGAGAGGGACGAGGTGTGGAGCATGCTTTCAGAGCAACACTCCAATGCGGAAACTACAGAACCCAAACCACCAAAAAAGAAAATCAACCTTCTGTTGGTGGCATTTGACTCAGATAAAGAAAATGAACATGCGTCAGTCTGCACTGCTTTGAATTGTTATCGAGCAGAACTCCTCAATGGACGCATGTCCCCTGGAATGGTGGTTGAAGCATGAAGGGACGTATGAATCTTTAGCGCATCTGCCACGTGAATATCTTGCGACGCCAGCTACAACAGTGCCACGAGAACGACTGTTCTCGCTTTCAGGTGACATTGTAAACAAGAAGCAGGCAGCATTATCTCCTGCAAATGTAAACAAACTTGTTTGTCTGAGCGATTGGCTGAACAAGAAGTAGGACTGAGTGGACTTGAAGGCTCTAAAATTTTACGTTGTTTGTTTTTGAATGCAGGGGTTTTTGTATATAATTCTACATTTGTAAATTAAACTTTCGTGATAGAGATTGCACTACACTACTTGTATTAGGTGAATTGAAAAATACAATTTCTTTTGTTTTTTTACAGTGCAAATACTTGTAATAAAAATAAATATAAAGTGAGCACTGTACACTTTGTATTCTATGTTGTAATTGAAATCAATAAATTTGAAAATGTAGAAAATATCCAAAAATATTTAAATGGTATTCTATTATTAACAGTGCAATTAATCATGATTAATTTTTTTTATTGCTTGACAGCCCTAATCATAATATAATTATAATATAATATTCATTTTAACTTTCACTGCCCTGAGCCATCTCAAATTTCCACAGATAACAAGCAGTATTCGTCTTTGGACTACTAACTGCAAAGAGCAATCTTTTTATTGTTAGAGTTCCCCCACTAGGCAATTCTAGTTACTACACTGTATGAAACAAGTATTGCTGGCTGCTATAGTGGAGTGTACAGAAAAGTGTAATTTAATTAGTCCAAGTACTGCCTTCTCGTGCCCTATATAAGCTGTTTGTGAAAGACAATTGGAAAATACTTCACTTCCATATCACTAGTTCAAATCCAGTCCAGGTTAAAACCAAATTTCAGTGGCCTATGAGAAAAGTCACTCAGTCAATCCACTATATTGACTAACGTGTATAGCCAGCTATGACCGGGGTCCCAGGGAGTGACACTGAAGTTACAAAGCTGCAAAGAATGGGGCAGACAATCCCCAAAGCTGGTGAATATTTCAAAACTTAGATTTACCAAACCAACAAAAAACAGCTTCTATAATACCTTACTGATTACCCAGAGGCCAACGACACACTTCCCTTAAAGCAACCTAGCCTTAGGCCTCCACCCCAGACACCCAAGTCAAATATGATGAGGATTACTGAAAATCTTATTCATCATATAAGAAAGTTTATCGATCCCAAAGGATTGGACACATTATCTCCCAGGTTAACGAATACTTCAGATCTTACCCAAATACATGCTTACAGCCAATTCTTATTAACTAAACTAAAATGTATTAAAAAAGAAAAGTGAGAGTGTATTGGTTAAAAGATAAATATACGTACAGACATGAGATCACATTTATAGTAGAGATGGTGAGCTTTGTAGTTGCAAAGAGTTCTTTCAGAATTAGTCCATAGGTTATAGTCCAATGGCCATATTCAGGGTGATCCAGATAGGACTGGAGGTCTCAGTCTTATGACTAGTAAGGTGGGATTGGGGAAGCTTTCATTAAAATGGTGTTGGGGTGAGTATATATATGTGTGTGTGTGTGTGTGTGTGTGTGTGTGTGTGTGTGGCTATAGACATGGGGACATGGTTGTCAGTTTGACCCCTGTTCTTGAACACTACTTTAAGCAGCATAAAACAAACTAAAACACCTTTTTGGAGAGAATCTGAAGTATTTGAGGGTTGTGGATGTGCTATTGTAGCTTCTTTGATATGTGTGTATTCCTGTAAGTGAAGTTTAGTTCCTTTTAAGGAAAATTTTCTAAACCCCTATTTCTGGTGGGGAAGGAAAAGACCTGGCACTTGAGAACCACAGCATGAGGCAGTTGAGGACCTTTCAGTTAAGTGCTACAGACCACTTTCTGCCGTAGTAACCTACAATTCTACCCTGAAAAGTGAATATGTAAAAATTGCACCTTTTCTGCATAATTGCTCCAGTTGCATCTGGTTATTTTAGTAACTAAATTCAGTCTTTACATCTGTTAATCCTGTGGAGCCAACCCCCAAAAGAGTAAACTGTATTTTATCCTTTATGTGCATTGTTTCAGTTGCCTGTCCAAATTCTGTTCTTATCTGTGAGGTAACTAAGAACTCATCTTAGCGTAAAAAATCCTTTTCACTGATGTTTGAGAAGGAGAGAACTCGACTTTTATATCCCAGCTTAAGTTTGTAATTTAAAAAAAAAAATTAAACATTTTAAATTTAGACTGTTGGTGTATTTCTCTCTCTACATCAAATGTTATTTTTACAGTCACATTTCAGCTCAGAGCATTGCTTTAAAGACCAAGGAGTCGGATCAGTTCTTTCATTTTACTTTAAACTGTGTAATAGAAAGCTGTGCACACTAATGTATAAAAGCAAGTCTCATGAAGAAGTTTACATAGAAATGTATCTAGAAAATTTGGTTTCCTGATGTGATATTTTCCTAATTATTTGTGCCTAATATTACTATTATTGACTTTCTTTCTACAGCATGTCTTAAAGAAGCTTCTAGCTATTACAGAACTGCTTCAGCAAAAACAAAATCAGTATTCAGTGTCTAATAACATCAGGTAGCAGCCTTCTACCTAGACTTCTTCATGGATCCAGCATGCCCAACATGGCAACTCACACAATATCACTTCCTTCTTGCTCTTGCCAAAAATAGCACACCTTTTTCACATTCCCAGTGATGTGTGAACTATGCAAAAAGAAAACAAAGATTCTGTTGGTGAATATTTCTACCAGCAGCTTTTTAAGCTATCTGTGCAGGATGTTTGCACTTTTTTCCACATGGAACCAATTTTCACAACCTCTGAGCCTTGATGTACAGATCACCTTCCACAAAGAAAATGCTGTGACTGTGTCTTGAACTTTAAAAGTCATTTTCAACACCTTGCCAAAGTTTTGCTGTCTGTTGGAAAAGAATTTATAGTCAACTGACAAGGAACGAAACACATTATTTTGACAGCTACGTATAACTGGATTGAAAATGTTTCTTACTGTAATTTGACTGGTTACAATTATGACTTTGACTGTTCAACCACTTTAATTTGTATTTACAGTTTCAAGAATTTGACATTATCGTAGGAACAATCTTTTGCTGTACACTTTTTATACCATGCTGTTTCTCTTGCTGAAATTATGTTGAAAGAGAATATGCAGAATGGGTCTCGTCAGCTTTTTTTTTTTAATGTGCCATTGATTCTGTCTGTTTGAATAATTCTTCCATCAAGGATTGTATATCCAGATAAATCACAATGCTTTTGTAAAATGTTTACAACAGTAAATAATTTGAACTCAATAAATTTATTGATCATTGTATCAGACATGCATGCATTCATTAAACCCTTTTATAAAGTATAGCGTGGTTGGAGTGTTGTGTAATGTAAGTCAGACATGATTTCTATAACTGTTGGAAAATACTTTTTAAGTGTTTCAAAAATCAGTTTTTAAAATAAAATCAATTTGTAGTTAGAATCTCTGACAACTGGATAAATGTGTTGAATTTTTGAAGTTTGTTTTGTGAACTTGTTCTTTGTAATCTACTTACATGCAAATCAAACCTTCGGAGTGAACATTTCAAACTCATCTTGCCTATTTTTAGCAGGGGACCTCAAAATAGCAGCTGTTGTTTCATACTCTCCTCTGATATCCAGCCACAAAACGATAAGTGGGAGTTTCGATGTACCAACTCAGTTTCAGTGTTTTTGCTTATGGTTGTTTTTTTATTAGGACTTTCGATTAATCTCAGTTAACTCATGTGATTAACTCTAATTAATCTTGATTAAAAAAATTAATCATGATTAAACGCAGTTTTAATCATATTGTTAAGCAATAGAATACCAATTGAAATGTATTAAATATTTTTGGATATTTTTCTACATTTTCAAATACATTGATTTCAATTACAACACAGAATATAAAGTGTACAGTGCTCACTTTGTATTGTTTTTTATTACAAATACTTGCACTGTAAAAATGATAAAAGAAATAGTATTTTGCAGTTCATCTCATAGAAGTACTGTAGTGCAATCTCTTTATTATGAAAGTGCAACTTATAAATATAGATTTTTTTTGTTACATAACTGCACTCAAAAACAAAACAATGTAAAACTTTAGAGCTTACAAGTCCACTCAGTCCTTCTTCTCGTTCAGCCAATCGCTAAGACAAAAAAGTTTGTTTACACTTATGGGAGATAATGCTGCCTGCTTCTTATTTACAATGTCACCTGAAAGTGAGAACAGGCGTTCCCATGGCACTTTTGTAGCCAGCATTGCAAGGTATTTACATTCCCACATTCTGCCATATATTTCATGTTATAGAAGTCTCGGATGATGACCTAGCACATGTTGTTCATTTTAAAAACACTTTCACTGCAGATTTAACACAAGGCAAAGAAGGTACCAATGTGAGATTTCTAAAAATAGCTACAGCACTTGTTCCAAGGTTTAAGAATCTGAAGTGCCTTCCAAAATCTGAGAGGGACAAGATGTGGAGCATGCTTTCAGAAGTCTTAAAAGAGCAACACTCCAATGCAGAAACTATAGAACCCGAACCACCAGAAAAGAAAATCAGCCTTGCTGGTGTCATCTGACTCAGGTAATGAAAATGAACATACGTTGGTCTGCACTGCTTTGGATCATTGTCAAGCAGAACCCATCATCAGCATGGACGTGTCTCTTCTGGAATGGTGGTGGAAGCACGAAGGAACATATGAATCTTTAGTGCATCTGGCACGTAAATATCTTGCAACACTAGCTACAACAGTGCCATGTGAATACTTGTTCTCACTTTCAGGTGACATTGTAAACAAGAAGCGGTCAGCATTAACTCCTGCACATGTAAACAAAATTTTGTCTGAGTGATTGGCTGAACAAGAAGTAGGACTGAATGGACTTTTAGGCTGTAAAGTTAGACATTTTATTTTCGAATGCAGTTATTTTTTGTACATAATTATACATTTGTAAGTTCAACTTTCATGATAGAGATTGCACTACAGTACTTCTATTAAGTGAATTGAAAAATATTTTTATTTTAACAGTACAACTATTTATAATAAAAATAAATATAAAGTGAGCACTGTGCACTTTGTATTCTGTGTTGAAATTGAAATCAATATATTTGAAAATATGGAAAACATCCAAAAATATTTAAATAAATGGTATTCTATTGTTTAACAGCGCGATCAATCATGCGATTAATTTTTTTAATTACATGATTAATTTTTTATACTTGTGAGAATTCTTCATGTTGAAACTAAAGTACGAAATATCTCCCTATAATGCAACAAAAATGGATATTTCCAGCATTTGTATTCAAAACTATTCTGTTTTTGTAACAATTAAATAGTCCTCTAAGCTGAGTCTTGAGATGAATTGACAGACACAATTCATCGGAAAGACGGTCAAACATCACTGGACTTGGTAACATTTTATTTTTATTTTTTATAATTTTGACTTTATTTTTAAGCACATCTTATGTATTTATCTATGTAATTGTTCACAGTTGAAGGAAGTTATGGGGATGTCAGATAATAAGTAATGACAGTGAGATTCAAAAATTTAAAGCCTTAACTATTAAAACATAAATTGTCACCCTCACATGGCAAACTATATAAAGTAAATATCCTTAAATCAAACTTTACCTTCTCAAGCAGCGTTTTTCTTTCTTAAATTTTGATTATCTTCATTGGAAATTTTTTTTCAGTCTGTGTATGGTGGAATTGATGTTAACTGATGTTTATCACTAAAAATCTAATCCTTCCAAGTCTAGTTATAACACCATTATTCCAGAATGAGGGAGGGGGAACATGGGCGAGGGAGTGGGAGAGAAGAGGAAACAGATGGGTAGAGAGATGGTAGCAGTGTTACCGAAAAACTGGTAGAGCTACTGGATGCTGCCATTCTCCTTTCATTTTCGAGGGGTAGAGGACATCAGTGTGGTAGGAGGGACTCGGCAGATTTAAGCCAGGTAACTGGAGTACCTACAGCAGAAGATCTTCTAGGACAGGAGCAAGTTGGACAGCTTCAGAGAATAGATCAGGAAGGTAAATAGGGATGTGTGGCCTTAAAACAATATTCTAGTGAAAAATTAGCTTAATCTGTATGTACAAGTAAGAAAGCATGTACCAATATCTGAACAGGTAAGATTGGAGAACTTTTTTTGTGAGTATGGACTTTCAGTAAGCAAGGTGTGAAGTTAAACGTGAAGTAGTCATTCATGTTAATGTGATAATGGTAGGATGCAGGCCATGTCTAAATGAACTGGAAGTTGATAGTTGAAAGAGCCGAGCTGTCTGAAGCTCATTTCTTTTGCCAAATAAGATGTCAGTTTTTGGTAGGTGATAGTGTGGGGTTTGTTAGAATTTATGTATTATTCTGATTTATATACTGTGCTGTTTATGTACTGCTTTGTGAAGTTTATGGGTCCATGGTCATGGTCAAGTTGTTGTTTGGACTCCATTTTGTGCGTCCTTTTGGTTGGGTCTTTGACGCCTTTTCTCCCAATGGCAGGAAGAAAAGTGCGGGAAAAGGTCACATGCCCAAGTTTATTTAAGGCCAGCGCGTTCACCATCCGGGGCTGTCCACCACAGAGGCAGACAATGCCTAGTTCTGCGCACACAGCGAGAGGCAAGAGTCTTCATGAGATACCTACCTGAAGACCATCGCAGGGTATCCTGATCCACCTTCCGAAGAAGTGGGCTGTAGTCCACGAAAGCTTATGCTCTAATAAATTTGTTAGTCTCTAAGGTGCCACAAGTACTCCTGTTCACCTTCAATCTGTGTCCCTCTTGTCATCCCATCTACAGGTCTGGAATCCAGCAACTGCCGCAGTAGTCTGCAGTCACAACCAGCTGTCTGCCTTTCCATCTGAGTTGCCAGTGAAAGTCATTTCCTGCAAGTAAAGGAGTTCCCATAGCTTACCAAGGGTAGAAGGGAGCCGGTCTTTATGCCCTTTTGGGTCAAACCTCTGAGCTATTATTCTGTTGCCTTCGTTAATTTGTTTAATTTTAATAAATCTTAGTAAATCTATCAATACACTGGGTTGTTTTTACTTACCTCATGAGTTTTAAAAAGTGATGGAGATATTTATCCGGGTCCGATAACAGTTACAGTTGAGGTAACAGTTATGGTGACCACAGCAGGACCCAGTTTAAAACCCTGTCTAAAACTGCCGCTTTTAACTGCCACTCAGAGCCCCCTCTTAAGTTGTCCATTCTTTACATTATGGTCTGCTCAGGAAAGGTTTGAGAGAAAAAAAGGTCCATTGACCTGCGGGGGAGTGCCGTTTCTGCTCGGCCACTGACACACAGACTTTGTGGGAGGTGCTGAGAGATGCCTCAGAAGCTGCTCTGTGTACCTGCACCGGCCAGAAGGTTCAGGAAGCACAGTAAAGCCCCGGCTCAATGGACCCAGGGAGATTGGCAGACTCTGGCCTCTGTGGCCCGGTGTACGCTGCCGGTTCTAGTTCCAAGGAAGCCTGGTGAGAGCAACGAGCCAGTGCTGACGGTGAGCTCTGTTGTATCAGCACTCTGGCTGTGACAGCCCGGTGAGTGCAAGACACGTGCTGGCTTTGTAAGCCCAGCGGACAGGAAAGGGGCATCAGCCACTCCGGCCTGGTGGGCATGGATAGGCTCGGAAATCGAGAGCTATCAGAAGAATAGAAAGGCTCTGGTCTCTCTGTGATAGGCTGAACATTTTTGTGGGTAAGACATCAGCTGACAGGGTAAGATGGCAGTAAAGGTTTTTGGATCAACTGGATGGACAAGGCAGATTAATAAAAACTCCCTTGAATTTTGTGTAGACTTTATTTGGGAAAAATCAGAACCCATGGGAAAATAACTTATTTTCAGGGGAAAATGCATTGGGTAAATGTTGTATAACATGGGAGAGATTTGTGATCTCTCAGCCCTCCCCTAGTAAGAAAACCAAGAAAAGAGCCTTATTATACGGTCTAGTAATGGTAGCTAAAGAGCTAGACGAACAGGTGAAACTCTGCTTCCAAAGCTCAAGGACAAGTAAATGGCGAGGAAGCTGAGTTAGAAAAGCTCACTATGCAGCATAATACCACATCAGCTCTAACATTAAATCAAGCACTGCAGATAAACCAATTAGAAGAACAAATCAAAGAATGAAATGGAAATTTAATAAAGAAAAAGAAAATTACATACTGGCAAAGAAATTAAAAGATTCCCAGGCTGCAATAAGGGAGCTGATGAAGGAGGTGACAAAAGTCAAAGGAATCATACTCTGTGAGATCATGGAATACACATGGTAAAAGAGAAACTGAAAAGATCACAAGGGGTTATAAGTGCCATCCATACTGATGCCTTAAGGGGGTATGAGTGTGAAAGGGAAATAGCACTTCCGGATTACAGTGGCAGCTATACTCTGCCATCTGCCTCAAAGAGGTCATGAGATCTCAGGTAGAGGAGGAGGGGAGGAAATATCCTCCAAATGCACCAGTTACCACCACAGTGGTAT